ATTTACAAAAAAAAATGTATCCATTTATTTAAATCAGTTGTCTAGTACCCATAACACAAGCTCTGCTTTACTTGGGACTAGATGGCGCTGTGTGAATTGTCCTGAAATATTATTATTATTTCAGCCCGGAAGACCGCTAAACCAAGACCTTTCCTAACATCTTATATATTTTCAAATTTTTATAAGTCTTGGATAGTTCATGCGAATGAGCTAAAGACAGTCCCAGGTCGTTTTTCACGGTGAAGATCGACAAACTTGTTTTAACGAAAATCTGACAAGTTGCCTCATCCTATATGGTAAAAATCACCCAGTTTAATTAGATATCGTTAATTTTAAACTTTCGTGTTTAATATACATTATTTAAATTATTGTCTTAACACGAATAATTTTATGGCAAATAAAGGTATTTACCTCTCTCGACGTTTCGACTAGGTTGCACTAGCCGTGGTCACGAGCTGACAGTCAGCTTTATTTGCCATAAAATTATTCGTGTTAAGACCCGGTTAATAATTTTAATTAATTAGATATTGTAGAAAATTTTCACATTACGTACATACACGTTTTGTATCGAGTGGGATAAGTGAGTCTTAAAATGAGTGTGTGTTTTGTGTGTTCTACCGATTATACAACGTACTGTGTTTTGAGGAAGGGTTGATGATGATGTCTACGGCCTCCTTTTACCATCGCACCGCTCGCCATCGACAGGGAATTCATTCCCACACGCTGGAACCTAAGTGGTCTCGGACAGTGCTGTTTCAGAGGAGCTTCCTCCCGCGTACACTTATATTGTGGAATGAACTACCTGCCGAGGTTTTCTCACTAGACTACAGCATGGGGTTTTTCAAGAAGGGTATATTAAGATTTCTTAAGGGTCGGCAACACGCAAGTGATACTTCTGGTGTTTCAGGTGTTCTTAGGCTACGGTAACTATTTACCACCAGATTGCCACTATCGTAGTATAAAAAAAAGAGAGTGAACAAACATAGACTTATTCTGAAGCTTGTTAATACACGTAGCCGTGTGTAGTGGGAGCAATATCAGGTGTTTTACGATGTCGCCAGTGGATTATGTGCTGCCTCCAGGCCTCCAGCTGGCTTTATGATTATGCACGGCGGAGTTATTGCCTCTTTTCATGCAGCGTTTTTAGGTGCGCGTGACACTTGACTTAATACATCACCGAGCTATCTATCTATCTATCTATATCGCGGTCTGGCTTTGAACTGGTGTCGTTGACTGCCTCGCCGTACTTCCGATGGTCGCGAGTTCTTTTCCTCAGGGTGAATGAAATCCCCACATTTGTATTCAGGAATATAATTATCTGTATTCATCTTCAATCAATCAAGCAATCTCTTCCAGGTATCCTTTGTGTAGAGCAGAGAAAAATAAAAAGGATAGTCATATTGAATATCTTACTAATATTATAGACGCGTAAGTTTCTGGGTATAGATGTATGTACACGCAAAAACTCCTAAACGGATTTTAATGAAACTTTACAGTAGTATAGCTTATATATCAGAATTGGCCGAAATATAGTGTCCACTGCTGGATAAAGGCCTCTCTTGGAATAACACATATGCTACATATTTCACGCGAGCGAAACCGCGAGCACAGCTAGTAAATGATAATAATTAGCACATAATATTTATATATATATAAATATTATGCTATATACTACTTTTTCACGCGTATTATTTATTGAACTTGTATCCACTACTCCCCAATTCTTCTCACTCAAAGGTTGACTGGAAGAAATTCCTCTTTTGAGATAAGTCCGCCATTGTACGCATTTATTTCAAAGTCATGTGTCCTTTTATATATAATCTGTATAATAAAGAAAATTATAAACAAACTACTAATTAATAAAATTAAAATAAAATTGCGTAAGATTTTATAATAAACTGTCAGAATCTGCTATAAATCTGACAGAGAGAATTCAAATTTTATATTAAACAAATATTATGTAAAAAAGCCTATTATAGGATAGATGAATTCATAGATGATAGCAATATATAGCAAAAATAAGTTTATTTGCGAACAACGTTATAATTTCTTTTTCATACTGCTTTCTTGAAATATAATAGCGTAGCGGTTTTTGTATTGATTGCTGCATGTATCCTTATTACGTAAAGTGCGAATACTGTAACTACCATATAGTAATTTTAAGTAGATATGACGTGGTCGAGTGGAAAGAGTAGTCATGCTTACTAAAATCTAGTAACTCCAGACATGTGGCGGCGTGGTGGGTCGGGTTATTGGGCTCTCTAAAATATGGTCGAGCCCAGTGATGGCTAGCTCATACGTCATACTCGTGAACGAGTGCTGCTTGTAGGGACTGGTCTGCTCTTATCACTACGACTGATTAAATCTTATTGTGTATTTATTGACCCTAATAAATTAGTGCTAGTTGGTAGTTTGTATTCACACGTTACGAATTATAACATGTGAACTTACGATTATTTAAAAGAGCAACACACAAGTTTCTTGCTCGTTCTTCTTGTGATGAGACAGCATTCCAAATGAGCGGTATATTAAAAAAATTGTTATGACTATTCAAAAGTACTTTAAGTTAATTTGAATAAAGGATTTTCTATTCTACTATAACTGTGCTACTGTTCATTACATCAAAAGACTTTTTCTAATGTCTTACACTACAGAAATGGCATGGATTCAGCAAATTGTATCCACTATCCTCTCCCTTCAGACTAATTTGGGCCGTTAACGCCCTGTACGGTGCTCGGAATGGCAATATTATTCTGTTTACGACCGAGGAGCGACGGACGAGCATTATAACAAGTTCGTACACCGGTTGTACGTTTAAGTTTTAATCTTTATTGGATACTACCTGTATTTATTACTAGCTGTACTCGACTTTGTCCACGTGGAATTTAACAAAAAATTTATTAGAGAATTTTTCTAAAATAAAAGTAGTCGAAGTTACTCCTTATTACATTAGCCACAAAAAAGTTAATTAGAGAATTTAAATAAAAGCAGCCAAAGTTACTCCTTATTACATTAGCTACCTGCCAATAAAAGTCCCGTCAACTTGGTTCAGCCATTTCAGAGGTTAGCCGGAACAAACAGACAGACAGATAGACAAAAAATGTTATTTTGGTGTATGTACCGTATTTATATTCATATGCACGTAGTAAAAAACGGTTATTCAATATTTGTAATATTATACTCCAATTTTATTTGTGTATAGATTTACGTTGCGTTGCTCTATAATGGTATATCAATTAATTCACACACATAATATGCACCTTTCAGGCATTGCAACGTGCAAGAGAGGCGGACGTTTTAATATTATTCATCTACATCTTGCATTCTTCGATTTTGTTTTAACTAGATAATAAATTTATTACATCTATTCTCGTTTTTTATACAGTTTAGCGCACCGCTTAAATTTCGGATGGTCCCGGGTTCGATTCAAACATTTCGGTACAAACATTTGTATTCATGAGTTTGACTGTTTGTATCGGTCTGGGTTTTTCTATATATAATCTTATTAATATTATAAACGCGAAATTTTGTGCGTATAGATGCAAGTTTGTTACTCTTTCACGCAAAAACTACTCAACGGATTTTCATGAAACTAAAAATTTACTGAAATTGTTATTATACATATTAAAAAGAAAAGATTTATTTTGTATTTATATTTTTGCAGGTGATGTCGTGGTATATTGTTAGTTATTATAGAAACGTACCTCGTGTTAATTCGTTTGACCAGACGAATTATATGAAAATTCTAGAAGCAGTTTAAATAATAGACGAAGTGAAATATATATACTAAAATTCATATAAACATATTGATGTGGAATATTCCAGACAATATTATTATTAGAATCAACCCACCTATTACTTGTAGATAAGATGTTATCATTCCAAACATTATGTGCCTCTCTCGCAACCCTCCAAAGGTGTCCCCTAAAATTTATAGAACACAATTTTAGACTCAATTGTTATAGTCACAAGGCACTTTATTGTTGAAATTACTATTTAATTTCTAGTATTTTACTCAAGCTGTCATATTGAATTGTATTCAAATCAAGATATGCTATTATCAAGATATATTTCATCTTACCCACGGTGCATCTATTCTCATAGCTTTGAAATACACATGGATGGCGTCAGGATTATCAGAATTATTTCAGGCTTTTTTTTAAATATATGTTCTACTATTACCCGTGATTTCGTCTGATTGGTATTTAACTCTCTAATATATATTCAAACAAACACAATTTATTACAAATGTTTGTACCGTGTGAGGATTCGAACTCGCGACCATCAGAAATTAAGGCAGTGTGCTAAACCACTAGATCTTACTAATATTACACAATATTACAGTGTGATATTAGTAAGATCTAGCGGCGGTCACCAAACGGTGAATATAATAGCTTAATGTGTATGACTCCATTACTAGCAATGTACCATGTTAGTTTGACCTCCACGCGGTTCCCCCCATCACCATCGTGATAAATTCCTGGTAAATTTGTCACGATGGGCTAACTGACCTGACCTCATGCTCAACTTATCATCCTCCACTGGCGCCCCGCCAGCGTAAACCGTTAGCGCAGGCGGAAGCACCAATCCATTATAATCCCTTAAAAAAAAATACCTTAATGTTTTTTAATTACACCTCATTTCTGTGGCAATTCTAAATCTGAATTACTAAATTAATTAAGTTGATTAAACCGTTATGATTTTAACAATACTTTATGTATTATGTGACAATTCTAAATTTGAATTATAAAATTAATTAAGTTGGTCAAACATAAATATAAAACCTTAATGTTTTTTTATTATACTTTATTTCTGTGACAATTCTAAATTTGAATTATAAAAGTAATTAACTTGGTCAAACGTGAATATAAAACCTTTATAGTTTTTTAACAATATTTTATTAATTATTTACGAAACAATTCTAAATTTGAATCACTAAATTAATGAATAAATTTGATACCAATGATAATTTGTATATTTTTAATTAAATGAGAGAGAGAGAGAGAGAGAGAGGACAAAAAAGTGGTATTTTTTTGATATCACAAGTAATAGAAAAAAGGTAATATAAGATAATAATGATTGAGATACACGTTTAATTAATTGAGGAAATGGTGAGATTTTTTTAATCAACGTTTTTAATAGTGTAGTGATTAGTGTTTCTTCGTGCTTTTTAATACATATTTTAAAATTTAACACCAGCGAAGTCGAAGATACCCTTCCAGAAGGCGATCGCTTCTGCGTCCAAATTATTCCCAGGCGTCAGTGCTTCGTTGATGTCCATATAGCTTTTAGTGTTCACGTCATACGGCTTCCATGTCACGCCGAGTGTAGAGTCTGGTGTAGGATTACTGAAAACATTGTTCATCATCGTCTATACATATAAATAAAATTGAAGTGTCTGTTTGTAATAACCGTTCTTTACTACATGCATATGAATATAAATACGAGACATGCACCAAAATAATATTTTTTACAAAAGTAGCCTAAGTTACTCCTTATTACATCATCTACCTGCCAATAAAAGTCCTATCAAAATCGGTTCAGCCATTTCAGAGATTAGCCGGAACAAATATATAGTCAGACAGACATACAAAAATTGTAAAAAATGTTATTTTAGTGTATGTACCATATTCACATTCGTATGTCTGTAGTAAAAACCGGTTATTTCAATATTACAAACAGACACTCCAATTTTATTTATATGTATAGATACAGTAATAACATTTTTATGTTAAACAATTGTACTCTGAATGTTATTAGGAATCTTGGTAATATGTTGTCGAAACGTCGAGAGAAGTAAATACCTTTATTTGCCAAAATATTATCTGGCTTACAAGTCCGTTATTATTTGGGACTACTTGTATGTACAGTTAGTACCTCTGTGGTCTAGCGGTTTACAATACCGCCTTACTACCAATGGTCGCGGGTTCAATTCCTCGCACGGCACAAACATTTGTATTCATGATTGTTTGTATCGGTCTGGGTGTTTTCTATTATTATTTGTATCGAAAATAAATTATGTATTTGTATGGGTGTTTTCTATGTATATTATGTATGTATTTTCGAAAATAAACTATGTATTTGTATCAGTTATCTAGTACCTATAACACAAGCTTCAGCTAGCTTAACTTGCGTCTAGATGGCGCTGTGTGAATTGTCCTGAGATTATTATTATTATTTTACCCTTTTTAGTAAATAAGCATTTTATATTCTATATTACTATAATACTATCTGGCTAATATAAGTCATTATTGTCTGCGACTCGTATGTATAGCCATTTAAATATTTTCGAAAGTTATTATGGATGATAAAACTATAAACAAATTTCATTTCGTTGATAGGTGACTATAACTTTACATAATTAAGATATAACTGTAATGATAACAGTATTATATAACTCAATTATAGCTATATTATTACACAATCAGTATATTTATTAATTATAATAATATTATTGTTTATTGTACACTATTAATTATTATATCATATCTGTCTTGTCTTGTTACTAACTCCTAGGTGCATTTAATAATAATAATAATATTACCCCTAGACAATTCACAGCGCCATCTAGTCCCAAGCTAAGCAGAGTTTGTGTTATGGGCACTAGACAACTGATATAAATACATGGATACTTTTTTTGTAAATAAATACATATTATACATAGAAAACACCCAGACCGATACAAACAATCATACTCATGAATACAAATGTTTGTACCGTGCGAGGAATCGAACCCACGACCATCGGATAATAAAGCGGTGTGCTAAACCACTAGACCACCGATGCTGGCGTTGTTTTATTTAGCATAAAACAACATCTGTAGATCAACTACGTTATATTGCTGTATGTTATAATCTGACTATATTACTTCAGTTTACTTTCGCGGGATTAATCAAATCAAATATTTTCCTCCTTTTTTATATTAAGATGGTGGCAAACAAATATACGTCCCATCTGATGGTAAATGGTTACCGTAGGGATGACACCCCTTAAGAAACCTTAATATATCCTTCTTGAGAAACCCCATGGTGTAGTCTTTTCCTTCCACCACATTCCTCCCACGGTACAAACAATTGTATTCACGAGTATTGGTTGTAATGATACGTATATTATATATTTACAGAAAAAAAAGTATCAATGAATTTATATCAGAAAGTCTAGTATCTGTAACACAAGCTCTGTTTATTTTGGGGTTAGATGGCAGTGTGAATTGTCCAAAGATATTATTATTATTTATTTATATTCACGACATGTCCATAACGGAGTAGTCAGAGAGCTCCAAGTGCCCTTTGACTTTTATCCTTAAAAACAATTTATATTTAACTAGCTTTTGCCCGCGGCTTCGCTCGCATTAACTTATCCCCTTATGGGTGGAATTTATCAAAATCCTTTCTTAGTACGCCAAAGTAGTTTTATGCATGCAAAGTCTCAGCCCGATCGGTTAAAAATTGACAAAGTTTTATATAAACTTTCATCACCTATTTTATACCTTTGGGGGTAGAATTAATCAAAATCCTTTCTTAGCGGATGCCTACGTCATAACATCTACCTGCAAGCTAAATTTCAGCCGGATCTGTACAGTGGTTTGGGCTGTGCGTTGATAGATCACTACGTCAGTCACTTTTGAGTTATATATATTTAGATTTAGTACATCTGGTATATCATATATACTGAGACTACAGACTACACAGTAACGATTACTTGAATAACGATCTTGCATGGCAATAGTTGTACAAGCATGTGATTTTCATTTAATATTAAATATAGAGACCTATATAAGTGAACAATGTACATAAACTGGCTGTTTATAATAATAAATTCAGTTGAGTTTCTTCCCAGTTCCTCTCAATTGAATTTGTATACTGAACTGGATGGTAGGGAAAAATTATAATACAAAAAAATTGATGTTCATAAGCGGCTAAAATATCCTACATGAATAAATAATTGATTTGTACTTACCCATATTTGGCGAAATTACTAAATAGTGTACATGTCTGTTTCACCATTTTATACGATCTGCTCTCTCTATCAATTTTCAGATTTGCATATTTTGCGTCCAACAGGTACATGAGATCATCCAAATGGGACGCTCCTACGATACCATAAGGAGCACCTAGATTCCCATAAATATTTCTCTCGGAGACACAAGAAAATTTGTAGAGATATACTTTTAACTTTCCATAGTTGACCAAATAGTTGGTATATCTGAAAACATCGTAGATAAAGGTGCAGTCGGATAAGTATTCTATCATCTCCTTCATAACCTCTGCATTAATTGATTTGTCTCCAAAGTAATGAGTACGAATTCGTTTTGATATTTCAAACACTTTCGTTGGTGGACACTGCAGCAGGATCTCTCTAGGAACAATCAACTCTTCCCATCTATTGTATTCGTTTAGCAAAAACTTCTCCAAACTTGGAATGCCAATTAAAATCTCTTTATCGGTGTAGCCAATTAATACGTCCACTTTGTTATGTTTACCCTTTTTAAGAATTTCTTCAGGATCTTCTGTCAGAAAATGATTTTGACCAAAATCTTTTTCGATTACCGGCGTGAAATGATACATTTTGATTATGTTGTTTATTGTTAACTCCAAGCTAATTATTGCTGGGTTTGTATTTATCAGTTGCTCGGATGGAACCTTTTGAAGAAATTCCAGAAGTTCATTGGGATCATTAGTTTCTAAACCCAACTGCTTTCCGAGAGCGAAAGCTCGTTTTCGCGGTTCAAAAGCCAAGGCCCAGTCGCAATTTGGTACGCCACTCATTGGAATTGCCCTTTGAAATAAACCCCGCGACAGTGGTGATACAATGTGAAGAGCAGTAGATGCTCCACCGGCACTTTCACCAAAGATCGTTACGTTAGCAGGGTCACCTCCAAACTGCGATATATTTTCTTTCACCCATTTCATAGCCAAGGCTTGATCCTTTAAGGCAGCATTTCCAGGTACATCCGCAGTGTCCAAACATAAAAACCCTAAGACTTCAAGCCTGTAGTTTATGGTCACTAAAACAACGTCATGGTTGACGAGAAAATCAGGACCGTAGTGATCCTCGTTTCCTGATCCACTTTTGAAGCCACCTCCATGAATGAATATCATAACAGCCAGTGGTTTGGAGGGCTTTATCTCTGGAGTGTATACATTGAGATAAAGGCAGTCCTCACTTCCTGGGATTATTTGGTTTGTAAATATATCTTGTTGACAGCACACTGGACCGAATTCTTTTGCTGGTCTCACACCGTCCCATGATAGTGGTGGCTGAGGTGCCTGTAAAGTATAATTAATATCTAATAATATATACTTTTAGAATATAATATAGAATTTTATTTACCACACTTTTATAAAAATTTCTAAAGGTAAGGTCTCCTTTGTAATTTGAGATTTAGATAAAATGACATAAAAATATACCCGTTTCTAGCACGTTCTTCTCAATTGAAGTAGCTTGTAGCTTTCATAATTTTTGTTACTATCCCTATCATCCAGCCGGATGGGATGATAGGGATTAAATATAGGGATGATAGGGATAGGGGAAAAATTATGACGTTCACAGGTCCAAGACAAGAAGTATAGAAGGTGAAGAAATTAGTATAGTAATTAGAGTTTGATTTTTGATAGAATAGTATTATTATGTAATATTATATTATCTGTGGTATTATTATACTTGTCTTTCCATTTAAATGATGTCTGGAAAATATTGCTTAGTGATAAAGCCATCCATCATTCTTATTATCATCATCATCAACCTCATCATACACATTCTTATTATGTATGATTTTTATTTCTATATAATGTAATGCTTCTGAAGGAAGAAAAAAGATTATATCATATCTATTTATCAATACTCATTTGTTATTGTAGGTGTGTATTTTTTACCTCTTGGAGCCTCAGTCACTTGTCAAGTTGTTTGGTATTAAAATATATATTGAAGAAGCCGTTTGATGTTGGTCAATCGTTGGCACCTTAGCGAGTTGACATATGGTACGAAATATTTGTTATGTAGAACATGTTTGGTACGGATTCATCAATATGTATGGTTATTCGGACTGACAAACAGACTCGGTTACATATTTATATGAATTGTAAAGAAGGAATTACATTTGTAAAAATAGTAATTAAGTGATATGTGACTGTATGTATTGAACATCAAACCACAGTAAGAAATTTCCGCATGTTGTTTGGACTCGTGGATGTTTGTTACTGTTTGACTCAAAATGTAATGAATGGATTTTAATGAAACTTTACAATAATATAGTTTATACATTATATAATATATAAGTTATAAATAATATATAAAAGTATAATATATAAATTTTACGAGAATGTAACCGCGAACACAGCTAGTATTAAAAAAAGTCCATAAGTTAACATTTGTTGTTGTTATTAAAAAAAAACTTAAAGTAACTTTTGTTTTTGTTTCATTTTTTTTATAAAACCTGTCAATCGAACTGACTAAACCTATAAGGAAATGAAGTATAAAATTAGTGTACATATTGATAATAACAAACCTTGAACCTCAGCTTGCCGAGCGGCGGCGTCGCGTACGGAATACCTTTAAAACTGTAATATTTGCCTTCACCTGTAGAAGATTCTAGATGTTCACCTTCCAACCATCCTTGTTGCACTTTAACTTTAACCATTTTATCACTAATTCCACTCACACGTGTACTATGTCTAGAAAATAATGCAAACTATTCAGTAAATTCTACATATATATACTAAAACGTTATCGATAAGAATTTAATAATAATCGTTATGAATTTATCGCTATATGTCATATTATATTTATTTGCTATAACAATGTACAGTTCTTTATACATATATATATATATTTAAAATATATTTTATATATAATTATATTTAAAATATGACTTTTTGTGTTGGAAAACCCAAATTATATAGCATTTGAGTATGTATAGATATGCATAGATTTCTTTGTGTTAATATAATTTGACTAATCGTATTATTAATAATATTGTTAGTGCTTTTGTTCCGGATTTTTAGTCAGAAAACAATGATATGCTATTAAAAAAAATATTTAGTTGTTTATTTAAAAAACAAAATAAATTACACACGTCCAAAACAAATATTTATAAGTTATTTTTAAAGTATCGTACGCACTTAGCTTATGATATTTGCAATGCAATAGAAATTAAATATTAAACGTTAATATTAAGTAATTTTTGATTAATAATTAATGCAATTCAATACTTTATTTGCAATTGATATAAGTATTGCAAAATGACGCTAAACGTGTACTCAATACAACGAATAGTCCGCGAATGGGTTTTATCGATGGATATATCTATAATACCATAGAGACTTTAAAACGATCTTAGGGTTCAGTTGGCAAGCATATAACCATTTAAATTAAAAATAAACATAGTGAGCTATATATTGGTATATGATTAATATCATTTTACGTAAATTTAAAAAAATGATGATAACTTACCGCGTTTTATCAGCAGTATTATGAGAAGCGGGTAGATGAGAAATATCATCTGCATCACACTTACTTGATCATTCAAAAGCCCTAATATCGGGCTACTCGAACGAATACTCCAATAGACTATTGCTATTGAGTAAAAACAATATATGCATGATGACTAGGGCCCTCACAGGACACTGCAAGTTGAACAAGCATATTACCTAGGCCTATGCACGACAAAAATCTGCAGATTCTGCCAAACTGAAGAGGAAACGCCACTACACATCCTATGTGGTTGTAGCCCACTCATGCATAAACGAAATATCTCCCTTGGAAAGTTTACACTCTTTCCCGAGGAGTTAAAACCATCGCTCCTAAGAATATCCTTCAATTCCTGTCCATAATGAGGGCGAGCACAATAGATCTATGTAGGTCGCTGTGCTACAGGTGCAGGTATCTGACAATAGCCCAAACAACCCAATAAAAAAATAAATACTTGATCATTATATATATATATATATATATATACATAAAATCTTTTTGAATTAAACATAATTTGTTATTCTGATGTATAAGCTATATTATTATAAAGTTTCATGAGAATCCGTTTAGTACTTTTAGCTTGAAAGAGTAACAAACATTCATCGATACTCACAAGCATTCGCGTATGTTATATTAGTAAGACTATGTAATATTATGATATCTGTGGTAAGATATAATAAACCGGTTAGTATGAATTTTTTTTTAATTTCTAAAGTGTTTAATTAATTACAGCATAAGAGTCATAATATCTTAGTCCTGTAGTCCTCTAGAATGACAACGCATGAGTGGTAACACGGGTGTCACATGATAACGTGATGTTCATAGTGCTGTTCATGTATATAGACTACGGTTAACATTTACAACCCATAACATACATAAAAATAGTATTTATTTATCATCATCATCATTACATATATAGTATAAAACAAAGTCGCTGTCGCTGTCTGTCTGTCCCTATGCTTAAATCTTCAAAACTACGCAAGTGGTTTTATTTAATAGATTCGAGTGGAAGGTTTATATGTAATACATGTACACTGTCCCTATATATGCTTAAATCTTTAAAATCACGCAACGGATTTTGAAGTGTTCTTTTTTAATAGATAGAGTGATTAAAGCGGAAGGTTTATGTGTAATACATGTACCCGTGCGAAGCCGGGACGAGTAGCTAGTGTAAAAGTGGTTTTAGAAAATAATGATATAAAAATTTAATTTCCTACGGAACTCTGCTTAGTTTTAGTATAATAAATTATTATCCAGTTGTGTAGAAGGCTGCAGGTTTTACATACTAATTAGTTGCATGTTGAATCGGATAATAATAACAATTTTAATATTACTAATTTCGCAATATAGACAATATTGTTCTTTTTTTTATGTATTGTTATATATTTTATTTATAACTAAACTGACTGGAATAGACGAATGACGAATATAACTAAATATGATATTCAATAGATTTGAATATCATATTTATTTATATTTGTATGGAAATATCGACATTTTTAAAGATAGAAGCTTGATTTCTTTGGCTGTTAATTAAATATAAATAAATATGACATTAAAAATATGCAAATATTTTAAAATAGTGGTTCACTCAATATTTTAAAAGTTTGTATATTTATTTCATATGTCTTATGGAAAGTTTAATATGAATGTGGATGGACAGGGGCCAAAGAAAAGATGGATGGATTGTGTGAAAGATGATATGAATTAAAAATGTTTAGATATGACGACTGATAGAGATCAGTGGAAGAGAATGACAATATAAATAAATATGATATTCAATAGATTTACAAATTTTGAATGTCATATTTATTTATTCAACACCCCAAAAATGTACACAACTCACACACTCATAACCCTTTCTTAGCATTAAAAAGCTAACCTATGTCCTTTCTCAGTGTCTAGACTATATATGTACCAAATTTCATTTAAATCGGTTCAGTAGTTTTAGGGTGAAAGCGCGACAGACAGACAGAGTCACTTTCACGTTTATAATATTAGTAAGGAAAATAATAATAACAATTTCTCAGGATAATATACGCCGGTATGTAGTTGGTCTATATGTCAAATTTAATTTAAACTAATCTGGTATTAATTATATGATTAAATGAAATCCTTTAACCAGGTACCACATGATATTGACCTGTTTTGTTCCAGCACTGCCTCAGTTAGGAAACTCATATGTAACCAATTCTTTAACGGTACGTATCCGTACTTTATTTGTGTGTTCTGTGGATACCTCGCTACTTGTGGGTATGTTAGTCTATTTACTTGTACTGTATAACTACAACTGAAACACTGTCACGTGATTACTTCAATATGTTAAAATTGGCTATTGGCGAAGATTATTAATTCCAGAGCCGTAAAATATTAAATAAAAAAAAAAAGATTATTAATTGGCATAGCACAATTTGATATGACAAGTAACATGTAAAATTACACCGTTATACTTTCTAAAATAAATAAAAAAACATCAACATTTATATTTATAACATTCTATTAGATTCGATAGAATTCAATTATAAGAATATTTATTCATTAATTTTTATTTTTCATGAGGAATTTATTTTATTTTAAAACACCTTCATTTCTTGGAATCAAAACGTTCTCTAAATAGCTGTTATTCAATTGAAATGGGCCTTAAATGTTTAATCTAAAATAATGTGTGTTAGCAATCCCTAAATAACATAATTAGATGGCAATAAATGTACCTAATGCGCTGGGTCCAGGGATGCCAACTGTACAAAAAATCAAGTACGAGGTTTTGGTCATTGGTACGAGACAAGGATCTCATCGCCGGCGTACAATTTGTACATGAATTTGACTTTTATATTTATGAGTAAATTTTTCACCGCAGTGCACCTTTTTTTTATTATTTTAGTTCGTTAAACGGTATAATACATAACATCGCCTTTCTTTTTTGTTCGATTCTTTGCACGGTTAAAATGTTTGTATTAGGAATATGACTGTTTGTATCGGTTTCTTTTTGTATCAGTTGTTTAGTACCCATAAAACAAGCTCTTAGGATTACACAAACTCTGCTTAGCTTAGGATTAGATGGCGCTGTGTGAGTTGTCCTGAGATATTATTATTTTTATATAACAAGTTTAATAATGCCTGCCGTCGCCTTGTCGGTCGAAATATGACGACAAGATCGGAGGGTCAAATTGAGACAATGTATGAAACTTTTTATCTCCTCTGTAAGTGGCAAAACGTTTTAAGGTTGTCAACCCTGAATGGGTTGCTTGAACCAGTGGTTCTGTTGGGCTTGACTAACTTTACCTTACGTGTACTAATTGCACTTCTATGAGAAATCCTGACTTTAAATTGTAAAAATAAATAAGAGTAATCCAATCGTCGTAGCACTAATTGTTTACTACAAACGATACTGTAGGTTCAAAGATGGATACCCAAATTATTTGTATATCTATTTGATTCCCTGTTGAGTAAACATCGGTAACAAACAAAGAAATTCAAGACATATTTTTTTATGTTATTTAATAAAATACCATGTTATCTCTGTCGATAATTTTGTTTATTACAATAAGTTTTATTATTTAACATTGTTACAAACAAGGTCCATATTCTTCATTTAAAAAATCGACAAATAAAACTTATCCAAAAGGGATAACTTCTAACTTCTCTTTCATCTACAGTTACTACAGTTTATTTAAGAATAAGAATCATTTATTGCTACCAGTGAAATTACTTGTAAGAAAATACATTTAAAGAGGACTTAAATAAAGTTGGAAAAGCATCCTCAATGTTTCATCCTCAATATTTGCAGTTACGTTTGCATTCGAAAATTAAGAATAAGAATAATTTATTGCTACCAGTGAAATTACTTATAAGAAAATACATTTAAAGAGGACTTAAATAAAGTTGGCAAAACATCCTCAATGTTTCATCCTCAATATTTACATTTAAGTTTGCATTCGAAAATTAAGAATAAGAATAATTTATTGCTAAGAGTGAAATTACTTATAAGAAAATACATTTAAAGAGGACTTAAATAAAGTTGGCAGAACATGCTCAATGTTTCGTCCTCAATATTTACGTTAAGTTTGCATTCGAAAATTAAGAATAAGAATAATTTATTGCTACCAGTGAAATTACTTATAAGAAAATACATTTAAAGAGGACTTAAATAAAGTTGGCAAAACATCCTCAATGTTTCATCCTCAATATTTACATTTAAGTTTGCATTCGGATATAAGGATATACATTTATAGGGTACTTAATTAAAGACGGTTAAAGGATCCGTTTCAGCGTTTGCCCACAGGATGGTTTTTATCTGAACCTTTTTCTATCAACCATGCTGACATAATTAAAACTCGATTCCCGCGTAGTCAAAGATTGATTTCCAGAAATTAAACATTTCCTCATCTAAATGGTTTCTAGGAGTGAGTTTCTCGTCTATATCTACGTAGTTGTCGTGTTCACTGTCGTATGGTTTCCATATGACTCCAAATGAAGAGTCAGGTGTTGGATTTCTGTAAAACATAATAAAATTTATTGTATGAGTTTTTTTAACTACTATGGTGACTTACTCCCTCTGATGGTAACGGTTACCGTAGCCTAGCCTGAAACACAAAGGTTTATTTTCTGACTACTCTAACGCAGTTGGCCGTAGCTGACCTTTTCAGCTTCACCGGGCGATAGGGGCCGAGTGCAGATGGCACTCCAAACCCGCAGAAGGACTTATGTAGCGGTTAAAGGCCAACTCCCGCCTGACGGATACGACTTTAGCCTGAGGGCACCGCTAGGGGTTCGAACCTCGGCTCAGGTTGTCGTAATTTTGATCCCCGTTTGAATTGGACGGGGGATCGATCGGAGGGGATGTGTCACGTGCGCGTAGTTGCTGTTCTATGTATAGAAGTTTCACCAACTTATCTTTACAATAGATGACTCTGTGTCAAAAGTAGATGCCACTAAGGTCTCGTTTTGTAAGTATAATGTTTTCTTTTAACATTTACTGTTTTCTTTTGATATCTACCGCTAGAGGCTGTATAACAACCCAACACAGTGTATAATTTATGCTTAGATGGTAAATCTGTTATTACATAACAGTGTCGTAATGAGGTAAAATTATCAGCTTAACTTGTACAGTCATTCACGACAACAAACAAATATTTATGGGACTAAATTTTACCTTTTATCAGCTACGCGATAAAACAAAAATATAATATGATATAATAATATCTCAGGACATTCACACAGCGCCAGCTAAGCTCAAGTTAAGTAAAGCTTGTGTTGTAGATACTAGACTATAAATACATGAATATTTATTTTTTTGTAAATAAATACATGTTATACAAAAAATCGTACTCGTGAACACAAATGTTTCATGCGAGGAATTGAACCTGAGAAAATCGGAAGTAAAGCGGTATGCTAAACCGCTGGACCACCGTAGTCCTCAAATTATTATAACTTTTATAGTTATTTTAATAACAAACATAATTTAATGTATAAACCCAATTATCTATGATTATATAACCTTTCATCCCCGCTTTCAACCCGTAAGGGGTTGAAAGGTTGTAAAGATGAAAAGTTGTATGAAAATGTAACCATATTTTTAGTAGAACGATGAAACTTTTTTGGGTTATAATCTAATATATTCTTTATTTTGTCAAGGTCACTATTTCACGCGGACGAAGTCGTGAGTAGTAATAAATAAATTGAATACATATGTAGTTCTGTTAAGTAGCTCAATAATTAAAATTTGCTCGTTTGCTTTCAAGCAGAGTATAGAGAAACATTGCTGTTTGTGAAAACCTTTTATCACTTATTTAGCATGTAAAGATATTGATTGATTCAGGGAAATGTAGGCATGTCAGGTGTTATGTTCACTTGAGATGTGAACATGTGATGTGGTTGATAGTCAAGGACTAGAACATTCCATGAAGGATTACAGTTGTAAAATTATTATCATCATTATTTCAGCCAATGTCTATCCACTGTTAGATATAGGTCTTTCCCAGTGCTTGGTGAAGTTCCACCATGTGGGATCTTCCGTAAAAGTTACAGGGACCGCCACTGCAGGGCTACCGGGTACTGGGGGTATATATTTTGCGTCTTTTTTATATAACTTTAGCCTATAAGTCTCCACGCTGGTCAGGCGGGTTGATGACTGGAATAATGCAAGGAATTTGTAGGATTTTTTGGGCCCCTCCCAAAAGATCCTAGAAATTGCAATTACAGGGGATGTCATTATATTATATGGCGTCTAAATATATGCGCGTTAAATATACTCACCCATACTTAGCAAAGTTGGTGAACAGCGTGCACGTTTGTTGTATCATTTTATATGCTTTGCTATTTTTGTCAATAGTTAAATTTAAAGATTTCGCATTGAATAAATACATAAGGTCATCTATATGAGCTGTTCCATACACACCATACTTAGTACCTTTATTACCAAAAATATTCCTTTCAGATATACAAGAAAATTTATACACATATAAATTCGACGATTGGTTTCGTTTTGAGAAATTTTTAATAAACCTGCAAATATCATATGTGAAATTACATTCCGAGGAGTAATTCAGAAACTCCTTCATTGTGTCCAAATTTACTAATTTGGCACCAAAGTAATGCTCGCGAATTCGTTTCGATATCTCCAAAATTTGTCTAGGTGTAGCTTCCAGTAAAATTTCTCTGGGAACAAACAACTCGTCCCATCTATTGTATTCATTAAGTAAGGAACTTTCGTAAATATCGAGTGCGATCAAACTTTCTTGACTCGTGTAACCTATAAGAATGTCTACATTATTAATCTTTCCGCTTTTAACAACTTCTGCTGGAGATTCTGTTAAAAAATGTTCTTTGCCAAAATCTTTTTCTACTACAAATGTGAAATGATAAGTTTTTAATATGTTCATGGTAACCGTTTCAGAAGCTAAGACAGACGGGTTTGTGTTAACCAGTTTCTCAGCTGGAACGCTTTGAAGAAACTCTAATAGTTTATCGGGATCATTGGTCTCGAAGCCTAATTGTTTTCCAAGGATAAAGGCTTTTTTTCTAGGCTCAAATGACAGTGCCCAATCACAGGATGGTACACCACTCATCGATATAGCTCTATTGAATAAACCTTTTGCTAAAGGAGATAAAACATGGAAGATAGTAGACGCCCCGCCGACGCTTTCTCCAAAAATTGTGATATTATTTGGATCTCCTCCAAATTTACTTATGTTTTGTTTGACCCATTTCAAGGCAAAAACTTGGTCCTTCAACCCAGCATTTCCGGGTACCTCTGGTGTGTCGAGGCATAGAAATCCTAAGACTTCGAGTCTATAGTTGATGGTGACTAAGACAACATCATGATTGACCAGGAAATCAGGACCGTAATAATCATCATTGCCTGACCCACTTTTGAATGCACCGCCATGAATGAAGAACATGACTGGTAGTGGTTTTGCAGGGTTTATTTCAGGAGTATAAACATTGAGGTAGAGGCAATCTTCACTACCAGGGATATATTCATTCACAATTATATTGTATTGAGTGCATATGGGTCCATGCTCTGTTGCTTTCCTCAGACCCTCCCATGGTAGCGGTGGTTGTGGCGCCTGAAACCAATTGATTTATCAATTTGATGTAATAAGGTGACCTAGATATTTAAATTATGGTTCGAATAAAATTCTTTTATTTCTATATTGTGGATACACTCTCCTATAAATTTTATACTATATACAGTTTAATCCAAAGTTGTCAAATGAAATAACTAATAGAACATGCATGCAAAAGATGAAAAATAGGTAATTAAAAATCTATACCGAGCCGCCTGGCCACTACGGGAATAGTACACACAAGACTGTCTTTGAGAAGGAGAATCCTGTGTACATTAGCAGAAGTATAATGAATTATTATCAACGACTACCTATGGATTATTCGACAGCCTCGGTGATCTAGCGGTACACCACTTTCTGACAGCGACCATTGGTCCAGGGACATTATTATTACTACATTACCGACAAACTAAATATACTATTAACATTTCAAATATTTAAACTGTAAAATAACAAATGCAGTCTTATCAGTCTCTCTACCAGGTTTCAATTGTAAAATGGTTTTGTGTTATCTATATTTGATATAAGTTAAATCAATAACTATGAGTTGTATAAATAGGTAACGGTGATATATGATTGATTATATTGAAAGTATATAGATACTGTGTATCAGATAAGATAATATGGTTATTTATAAACAATCTAAGACCTGCATCTACTATTGCTGTAGCTAAAATGCTCAATGCATTATCAAGTTCAAGTGGTAAGGCGTTGACTGGCATTTTAAACTTTCGTATTTAATATACATTATTTATATTATTAACCGGGTCTTAACACGAACTAATTTTACGGCAAATAAAGGTATTTACCTCTCTGGACGTTTCGACTAGGTTGCACTAGCTGGTCACGAGCTGACTGTAGATAGGTGACAGCAGTTGTTTCATCTACCGTCACTAGATTGTTCAACGAAAGTTCGCGACACACAGCACTTATGGTATTCGTACACTTCAGTTACTTTTGACGTAAAATTAGTTCGTGTTAAGACCCGGTTAATAATATAAATAATGTATATTAAATACGAAAGTTTAAAAATAACTAATAAATAAATACATCTCAAGATATTTGTTGGAGAAGAAATTATATCGATCTACCGATAGATTGAACGACTATATCAAGTATATTGCAGGTAGATGCAATAATAAATGGGATGACTTATTTTATTGAGCAATATACAATATAACAATATAAATGTGTTGTTTATACACAAATTTACAGACCTATATTTGGTCTGTAAATTTGTGTATAAACAAACATATAAACAATGTTTGTTTATTTACAAATTAATGATTAATACAATGAAATCTTACAATAATATAGCTTATACATCAGAATAGGCTATAATTTAAAAAGATATTAAGCAAATTAGGCGGAATATAATCAAGAAAGTGTGATGCAGATGAAGTTACGCGGGTCAGCTAGTATGAATTATAGGTGAAATCGCGTGCACAGCTAGTTGATAATAAAAATGAGTGATCACATGCGTTCTTAACTAGTTTTCGAGCAGAACAATTAATGTTTACGTAACGTGGTATATGACCGTGACCGTTTTAACATCTGGTTTGTTATCTCGTTTCAATTCGCTCGCAGTTGGATAGTCATGATAACTGTTAATTAAAGAAAATTATATATACACATTCAGTAGTATAGAACTAATAAACAGACATTATATAAAGGACAACAACTAAATTAACAATGCTACCATGTAGAACCAACCTGAACAAAATGTACTCCCATATCAGTTCCATTCAAATTCTTACTAATGTTATAAATGCATAAGTTAAGGGTTTTAAGTACAGTTCAAAATATTGTTTGTTTCTTTTATGAAGTTGGAATGGTAAATAAGCTGCCCACCTGATGGTAAGTGGTAACCGTTGTCTATATACATGAACAGGTCTACGGAGAGAAGCTTCAGATGTAACACTTTGTAAGCGTCCGGTGTAGACAGATACAAAATCAGTCCATCGTGTTGGTGATCGACCCCGAGAAGGTTTGCCTACAACTAAACCTTCGTTTTGGCTAATCCTTACTAATCCTTACTAGTCCTTACTAATATTATAAATGCGAAAGTAACTCTGTCTGTCTGTCTCGCTGTCACTGTAAAACTACTGAACCGATTTAAATGATATTTAGTACACAGATAGTCTAGATCTGGACCCTGAGAAAGTACTATTTAATGCGAAAAAAGGGCTGCAAGGGGGTTGAAAGGGAGACGAAAGTTTATATGGAAGCATCGTTATTTTTAAAGTTAGACTCTTTGGTCAAGGTCATTATTCCACGTGAACGGAGTCGCGAGAAATAATTATCTTGTGAGAAATGTGATCTTGTGTGTAAGTGAAATTTGAATTGTAAGTTTGAACATTACTAAGGTAATTAATAATGGGCCGTATGCTTGATTGCCACCATCGTGGTATAAAAAAAAAAAGTTTCTATGGTCACAGACTATACTTCTATAAATCTACAGGCACTGGCAGTCGCACAGGCAATAAACAAGAGAGTAAATTTGCGTACTGTTTTGTTAATTGATTGAACATATTTTTTATGTATAATTTTAAAAACGATAAGCAATTATTGTTTACAAATAATGAATGTGATAAATCTTATTACGATGTTTATTGTTTGTACTCATATTAAGTGAAAAAAAGATATTAAAACATTGTTATTGTATCTAATTCATTTTTTTTCGTTCTCTTCTAATGCTATTGGCCGCAGCTGGCCTTTACAGCTACCGGACGATAGGGGGCGAGTGCAGATGGCACTCCAAACCCGCGAAGGACTTATGGACTTCATCTTTACCCAAAGGTTGTCTGGAAGAGATTGCATAAGCGATAAGGCCGCCTTTTGTACCTCTTAATTTAAATTATTCTTTTTAAGTAATATAATTATTCTAATAAAAGATGTCAATCATCGAATTAACACTGCTTGGCTCAAATGGCGGGCACTGTCAGGTATTCTGTGCGATCCCAAAGTGCCCGTTAAGATCAAGGGGAAAGTATATAAGACAGTGGTCCGACCAGCCTCAACCTACGGAGCAGAATGTTGGACTATGAAAAAAGTCCACGAACAACAACTGCACACGAATGAGATGAAAATGCTGAGATGGTGGTGTGACACGCCTGGATAAAGTCCGCAACGAGTACATTAGAGGTTCTTTCAGAGTGGCTCCTATTGTGGAGGAAGTAAGTGAAAGTCACTTACGCTGTATGGTCATATTCTAGACGCGAAGACGACTACGTGGTTAAAAAAGTGCTCAAGATACCAATCTCGACCAGAGGTAGGGGCCACGCGCCACTTGGTGGAACAATATTAAAAAGCAAATGGACCAGGACAACCTTAAAATACTGACAACCCAGAACAGAGTTCTCTGGCGCAGATGTACAAGGAGACCCGACCCCATGTAAACTGTGAACATGGGTTGGACAAAGAAGAAGAATTAATATAATTTTTCTGGTGCAATAAAGAGTATATAAATAAATAAATAAAGAAGTAGATAGGTACTTAATAAAATTGTATAAATACTTAATTAACCGAAACAAGCTACTAACCTTGAACCTCAATTTTCCGATCGGCGGCGCCGCGTAAGGTATGCCTTTAAAACTATAGTATGTTCCTTCGCCTGTAGATGTCTCTAGTTGTTCTCCTTCCAGCCAACCCTGTTCCACTTGCACTTTCACCATTTTATTAATAACTACTCGCCCCGTCTTCGCACGGCTGTACATGTATTATATATATAAACCTTCCTCTTGAATCACTCTATCAATTAATTATCACACTTCAAAATCCGTTGCGTAGGTTTAAAGATTTAAGCATACATAGGGATGGACAGACAGCGATAGTGACCTTATTTTATACTATGTAATGATATAAATGACAACAATATACGTGTATCTGTTATTAAACTCACGAAAAAGATGTATAGAATTGGTCAAATTTTGTTTTATATATTTGCTTATTTGCTATCGCAGTTTTAGACTCGACCAATGACGGTTGATAACGTGATAAAAATAACTTCAATGTTTTAATAATGATGACAATGCTGTATTTTGTACGGACAGTTACAATTAATGAAATAGGACTGTTCATGTGACCTTGTGGGTTCGGTGGTGGTATACATAATGAAGGTTCCGGGTTCGATCGCCGTATAATACATACATTTGTATACAAGTGTATGTGTGTTGTATATATTAATATTTACAATAAAATATATAATATATACACATGTATATGAATTCTTTAGTATTTGAAGTAAAAAACTATATAATTCAAACAGATCGAGATATTTGATTTCGTATATTTATAACCTTTAATTTCTCTGCCTCATTTAACCTGTAAGGAGATTTTTAGTAATATCACAGATAACATAATATTACATACATACATACATATGGACTAATAATACCATTATTGGCAATGTTCTGTTGCTACAACGGTTGACCTCCACGCGGTTCCCCCTGGAAACCATCGTGATAAATTCCTGGTGAATTTCTCACGATGGACTATCTAACCTGAGCTCATACTCATCTTATCATCCTCCACTGGTGCCCAACCAGCATATACCATCAGCACACGCGGCTGCACCATACCATTATGATCCATTCATTTTTAGGATGTGCTGTTATCAGCAATTGCTGAGACAGCTCCTGTTGCTAACTTTTTATGTCTTTATTCTTATTTTTCTGTTTGCTTGTTAAACTGATAATATTGGCAATAAGGGTTATCTATCTATCCGTCATACTCGTGAACGAATGCTTTTTAATTTAATATTATTATGTACTTCATATTTTGACACTAATAAATTAGTGCTAGTTGGTAGTGTGTATTCATTCACACATTTCAACTTAAAAATATAAAGATACTAGCTTTCCACCCGCGGCTTCGCTCGCGTGGACTATAGGTTATCGCATGATTAAAGATACGTGCTCAGTAGTGGGATGTTATATAGCTTAAACCTTCCTCTTGAGTCACTCTATCTATTAAAAAAAACGCATCAAACTCCGCATAGTTTTTAAGATCAAATCGTACATAGGTACAGACAGACAACGGGAAGCGAAATTGTTTTATACTTTATAGCGGCTTGCCAAGGCTTTTTACTGGTATTAAAAAAAAATTTAAAACCCGTAAATTTTAACACACACATACTCACACATATATACTCTTTTTTTGCGTCAAAATAAAAATATAAAGATATAACAATTATTTAAAAGAGCAACAAGCAAGTTTCTTGTTAAGAACAAGCAGATCTTGTGATGTGAGCTTTCCGAATGAGCGGTAGATTAAAAAAAACTGTGATTATTCAAAATGCTTAAATTAAGTTTATCGGAATAACGAATTTTCTATTCTATTCAATCTTTTTAGCAAGAATCTTGTATAATCTACATGACCTGATCTATAAAAGATAACCTTATCATTCTGGGAGAGTAATGTACTGCGTTTTAATAAATCTAATATAGTTACGAAGCCACGATCAATTGAAAAGCAGTGGAGGATAGATAATTTCCCATTTTACTTGTAATATCAGTGGTTTTCTATTCATAGAAAATTAATTTTTGGGTCCCGTGACCGGTAAAGGTTGGGTCGAGGTTACTCCACGAGGAAATTATACGAATATTTTTTTAGGAAATTGTTTATTTCGCCCTAATAGAGACGTGGGCACGGATATAATAGCTTTCGTCAACGATTATTTACTTAAGACACAGAATAAATATGTAGTAATATGATATTTGTTTTTAAAGCAATAAAGTTAGTTTGGAAAAATCACGGGATCTTACACTGTTATATTCCTTGAGTGGCTGATATTTCGGGAATGTTTATAGTTTTGATTAATTCTCCGATTTTGGTAATAACGATAAATATTAAAATTAGCCGCTTGCTACCTTGAAAGCATGTGTAGTTGGATGGAGAGGCTGAAGATCAACTCCTGTATGACGGATGTGATTTTAGTTTTAAGGGTTCGTACCTCGTTATAATTTCGATCCCCGTTTGAAGGGATTTGATCAAAGGGGCAATGGCGGTAGATGTAAATATCGGGAGCTCATAAATAAATCATTTATAGTAAAAATCCCGTTCGCAAAATTATCCACAAAATGTTGCAGATGTTCAAAATATTGCCTAGAAAATTAATCAGGCGTTACGTACGCAGTCAACACAGAGTTAGCTAGTCGGTGTCGGGGAAGAGTATTGGCAGTAATGGGGAGTAGTAACCCTAGTAGTAGAACTGATTCAAAATATCGTCAGAAGGCGTCGAGCATCACATATATATATATATTTTAATGCACCTACTGAATGACGAAGTTGCCATTATTCACATAAAAAATATCGTGTATCATAAAGTACCATAATAAAAATAAAAATTCATTTCGAAGAAGTAAAAATAAAAAGAAATATAATAAGTTGGTACCATAATAAAAAATAAGAAATTGTAATTTTTCATTGACTATTAAAATAATATTAGTTGCTTTATAATTTTTATTTTTTTACATAATATAATTATTGACTTATTAAATTTCTTTTATCTTACTAGCTGACCCGGCGTCCTGAATAGCAGAATAAGTATTAAATAAACTAAAAAATTAGAGAATCCACCATTAGGCGTTACGAAGTACACCGGGTCAGCTAGTATACATATATATATATATGAAAACTAGTCATCACGCCACGACACGGCACGTTAGGACACATCAGGCATATATAAATCCACGTTTACAATTTCACTAACAATTTTCATTAGTAATATGACGTTGTCTGTATTATAATTTAATAACTTAGTGAATCGGTAAATTCGAGATAGTCAGCTTTGCTAAACTGTCAATATCACTTGTTTGCAAAGTGTATAATTGCCTGAAGGTTACGTATCTATTTGTATATAATTAGATTATCTCAATATAATGCTCAATAGGCAGGTACTTATTACTTATTACTTATATAAATACTGACTATGCCTGCGATTTTGTCCGCGTACCCTTAACTTTGGTTAAGGTCAGTATTCAAGGCTATTTCACTATTTCACGTAGTTAGCCCTCATAGTTAAACGTGAACTCTATATGTTATCTGTGCCTATGCACGACAAGTACCTGCAGATTCTGCCAAACTGAAGAGGAAACGCCGCTTCACATCCTATGTGGTTGTAGCCCACTCATGCATAAACGAAATATCTCCTTTGGAAAGTTTACACTCTTTCCCGAGGAGATAAAAACGATCGCTCCTAAGAATATCCTTCAATTCTTGTCCCTGACGGGTCTAGGTAGCGAACTCTGAAAAGGGCGAGCACAATAGATCTATGTAGGTCGCAGTGCTACAGGTGCTACACATCTGCCAATAGCCCAAACAATCCAATAAAAAAAAAAATATCTGTGCCCGCGACTTTTTTCGCGTGGAATAGTGACCTTGACCAAATAAAGAAAAATATTTAATAACCTAACCCACAAAAAACAAAATAAAAAGTGTCATCGTTCTAGCTTCAAAAGTGATGAATTTCTATATAAACTGTCACACCCTATTTAATTTACCCTCTAAAGGGTAAAGTTTTTACAGACTTTGGGTATCATATTCATTTATATTTAATAAACAGTGTAAAAATAATTTTCATGCTTTAAAAATTACTTTTCATCCACCCAACACCTCATCGATAAATATATAATTGAGCTTGTGTTATAGGTAACTATACAATTGATTGCTTAGATATATATTTTTGCAAATACAAACATAATATATGTACATAGAAAACATCCAGACCGACACAAACAATCATACTCATGAAAACAAAAATTTACACCGCGCGAGGAATCGAACCCGTGACCAGTCGAAGTAAAGCGGTCGGAGTTACCATCAGGTGGACCGTTAGCTGTAGTTTATTATTTGGCCATTCCAGTTACATTATGTCTGCAAGATTCGAACCCACGATCTTTGGCATATCAGTCGGTATAACAAACCGGTAGGTCACGAGTTCACGGCGTACGTATATTTAATTATAACTAATTAAAATGGATTACATGTGCGCATGTAATTATGTACCTAATGAGATTCACGTAAAGGTTTAATTTCCACAAATCGCACGACGCCAGGTGCGTCGCAGTTGGTGTAAGCAATCATCACATAGTGAAGTCATTCATCACACATCACGTTTTATAGCGATGCGGCACGTGCCTCGCTGACAATCAATGTACACATACGGGTTCAAATTTCAGACGCTCCCGCTTATTGTCAGTATACAGCTCAACAGTCAGCTAACTGTTCGTATACCAAATATTCGTTCTATGAGTAGAAACAGTATTCTTTATTCAAAGAAACCAATAATAATATGACCATTCAAAAGTGGTTATATTAAGCCACGCCATTTGTTAAGTAAATGTTGTTCAGAATTAAATTTTTAAGAATTGTTCCTTTGTAAGAGATACATGGGCTAATATTAAAAACAAAAAGATTTTTAGAAAACAAACTTGTTAATAAAGAATCTGACATGAGTGAAATGTTGATAGCAGTTGCTATATCCTAGAGGAGCTAGCGAAACGTAACCGTAAGTATGTTTTTCATGAATAAGGATAAATTGCATATCTTGAATAATTATGGTACATCAAATAACCGAAATGGAACTGAATTGTTATTATAATGTGGACTGATAATCCCGATGCTAATGTACTATGTAAAGTTGACCCTACGCTGTTCCCCATGGATATTATCG